TTGTAATGGATTTTTATAATATTTTAGAATTAAAAGTAATTGTTGGGTAGAGAGTCGGTACGGTATTATTTCGGTACGGTATGATACCGTACCGAAAATGACGGTACACCAATATTCCGGTATTTTCCGGTATTTTTCGCTACGGTAAGTGCGGTATACCGATTTTTCGGTATTTTTGCCCACCCCTAGTGTTGACTATGCTTTTAGAACATCTTTGAAGTGTTTAGGCTTAAATTGCTTGCACTATAACCTAGTTTTTGAGAGGATGAAGGCATTAGTCACCCATTGAATCGTTTCACAAATCATCCACCTGACCTGAATAAGTCCTTTAGGAGAAGCCATTTTGAGCCTGATCGTTTATTCTTTATCCAATTAATTGAGCTTCATATCCAAATGGTCTGTGTTTCCGTACCCGTGAATAACTCTGACAAAGGTTTTGATGTTTAGGGAACTAGGGGATTAATTTGTTAAGTTTAGGAATTTTGATAGGAGCCAATTTTGGCACTGTTCCTATGTCCCAAGTGGGGTAAGAGCAGTCACTTTTTAGGAATTTGATATTTTCGAGGATTGCATTGTAGGCATGGATTCATCTTGATTAATTGAACTTTAATTGCTAATTTTCCTTGGTGAGGCCGAGATTAGAATGGGCTAACGTCTACTGAAAATCTGAAAATTGAAAAAATTAATATAGCTAGACCTCTTACCTTGCGAAAAAGAGAATGGGAGACCCGGTCAAAAAGCGTAAGTGTTTTGCACAATAAGATGAGACTTGGGGATCTTTCGAAAGAAATGGCGTTCTCGTGCCAACATGACAAGGAAAACTGAACTTAATTAATTGAACTTGGAGGCTTTAGCAAAATTAGCTTTAGTCCTTCACGTACTTCAAGTATACGTCAAAGCACCAATGTGCCGCGGCGGTTTAGTTTAGTTGTACACCATGTCTACTCTTTGCATAGGTTTAAATGATAATTCCTAATTTGTGTCCTACTGAACTCCCTGAGCCTAAAAATAGCCATGAAATTCCTGAACACATTAAGTTTTTGTCAGATAATTCCAAAACTCTCAAAGCAAGGGACTTTTATTCTTGATCTTCCACTTTTCACCATTGCTTTCACAAGTCCTTCTGATCAGTAGCTAGTTCATTAGTGTTCGCTGCCATTACTTCAAAGATGTTGTGAATAATTTTGTCATTTAAGTTAGCTAGAGTACAAAGATGTAGTTTAGGGAAGAATTTTCTTGGTTTAGTCTTTCTGTTCTGTGAATATCCCTTTAACTACCTGTGCATGCTAATTATTTTAAATCTGTGTGGTAATTATCGTAAGTCCCGATGTTCAGTTTGCTTGAGGACAAGCAAAGGCTTAAGTGTGGGGGAATCTGATAAGTCCGTATTTAGACACGCATTTGATGTGTGTTGGGATCGACTTGTGATGGTTTTCCTAGCTTTAAGGTGTTACAAGTCTCAATTTTAGCTCAAGTTATGTTTACCGGGCGTTGAATCGAGTTTTGTGTTGTTTGGAGTCAAAATAAGGAATTTAGAGTCCGACACCGACGCTTGAGGAGCAAACGGGATGATTCAAGAAGCACTCGGAGTGAATTGAGAGCTTTAGAGGTAACCGGGAGGTTCACAATGAAGATTTGATGACAAAAGAACTCTAGGATTTGCTACGAGATTAAATGAAGACAAATAGAGTTTGAAAACGGTGATCATGATGACCTTCTATCAATCGTTCAAGCATATCTCTTTGTAGAAGCATCCAAAGGACACGATTCAAGTTTCATATGACAGCTAACGTCGAGAGATACAAATCATACGCAGACACCATTGCGAGAATCTGAAGGGAAGAAGGTGAAAACAGACGATGAGGTCAGATAATCGCTGTTGCGATTTCAGAATGCAACCTTCCACCATTGTATTCATATCGTTTGATAGGATGATCCAAATCCAGTTTTGTAAGTTGTGGTGGATAGAGGACTTCATTATCTATAACTTGCATGAAGAAAGTTTTGTCAAACTCGGACTAGAGAAGCCGGAAAACTCACTGGAAGACACGCACGCGTGCAAGAGGGGCGCACGCGTGCGTCCGACGTTTTTACGCGCAGGTCGGTCGGACGCACGGACACCACGCACGCGTGCATGGGTGCATGCGTGCCCCGTTTTAGTCCTAATTCAATCCAAATTGCTCCGTTTTTTCTATTTAAACAGCCTGTAAACCCCTGTTTTGATGGGGGAGCTTAGAGAGAGTGCCTAGCACGAAATTTTGAGAGGTTTTCAGGCTTGTTCATCAATCTTTTGGGATTCTTTGTAAGTTCCATCTTTTTAATTAATGACAATTATTATTATTCTTCCCAATTCTGTTGATTCTTCAATTATGAGTTGATAGAGTATATCTAGAGAGAAGTGAGAGCTAGAGAGAGAAGTGCAATAATATGCTTTAATAGAATGATTTTGTAACCCTGATAACTACCTCCAGAGGAAGTATTTATAGGGAAAATACGGACTGGGCTCCCAAGCCTTGGGCTTGGGAGGCCCATTTACAACTGGACCGCTACTGGGCCAAATACAAAGCCACTAATGAGCTGTACAAATGAGTAAGTGTAAAATCCGGTTCTGTGAGGTCTTCTGGCCGACGAGGGCACGGCCGACGAGGGCACGGCCGACGAGGGCACGGCCGACGAGGGCACCTGGGTTCCTTGGCTTCAGGACCATATTCTGAGTTGGTACCTTTCCGGCCGACGGGGGTCCCTTGGCCGACGAGGGCACCACTCAGTGTTTTGTGCTTTCTGTTCTTCTGAGTATGTGGGTCCTGGGGCTCAGACCCATATACTCCATCATGAGTCGAGAGTAGTTTTAATTAGGGATTTGGGATTGATGAAGGGGTTAATCATGATGTATGGCTAGATTCTTGATAGTTTAATTGCATGAATGTCGTTTAATTTGTGTTTGAATATTTAATTGATATCTCTTGTAACCTAGAACGGCCGCTAGAATTACAATTGCTTGTAGAATAAGTTAAGAGAGATCTAATTTATTCTAGGACACATTCACACACACTTAATCGCTCGCTAAGAGATTAGTAGCGATTAAGGGGTCGTAAGCTCGCTCGTCTTGGCAATAATTTAGGATCTTGTTGCATGAGAGATCAGTCTGGTCCCCTAAATTATTGTACTCTACGCCGCGAGAGCGGTAAGAACTTAGTAATGACTAGCTAGGCTCAACTAAATTAATTTCATGTAATTAGACCTGATCTGCCAGAAATCTGGTTACCCCGGAATCAATCCCTATTCCCTTCGTCGTTAATTACAAAGAACCCCTTAGCTTTAGTATTCGTTTAATTGCAAGTTAATTTTCCAATCAATCATATCTCGCACAATTTATTTTATTTTATTTAATTTTAATCGCTGAATTTAATTAATTTTTGATTTCCTTTTATTCGTCCCTGTGGAGACGATACTCGTACTTACACCCTTTACTAGAATCTGTTTTAAGTGATAGAAAACTCACGTCATATTCACAGAACTCAAAAACCGGATCGTTCGACCATTTGCTAGATCTCTGAGATGGTCGATGTCCCTCCATCTGCAGGCGAACATGGAAATCTAGCCAATCAGGCGTCGATCTTTTCGTCCATTTCTCTTTGACCCTTTTCCTCTATGTTTCTTCTTGCTCGCATTTGAAATCTGAGGGGCCTAGACAATATTTTGTATGAATTATATGTACAATTCCACCAAAATCATTTAAAATCCATCTCAATAAATAAAAATTAAAATCCATATATAGATTGTTTGAGAACACCAATATTTTTGTAGACTCTATACAAATCTAAATCGGGGACACCTGAATTTGGATGGAATTTTAAATCCATAAAAATCCTCAAGAATCCATGTTGAGGACATTCCTTCTAAATGTCTCTTTGTATTGCAGAACCGACATGACAATAATTCCTTACATTCATGTCAAAAAACAATAATGCATTTACTATGGTAAGTAGACATATTATCCTAGGACAGACTTAAGGATCTTGCTACTACTTCGGGTGTGACTATTGGAAGTTTGCAATCAAACATTTAACTCTTAGAAAGGATTGAGTTCTAATGCATCAATGCATGTACTATGGCCAAAAGAATGACACAATTGTTAAAAGCTTTATAATCTTAAATTTATGTTCGTCAATTCGTACTTACAAGCCATTGATAATAAGGCATTTTTTGTCATTTCACATATGTGCTCAAGTGTGATATGAAATTAATGAAATTGGTATCATATTGATTACAAATGAAATTAATTTATGTTCGTCAATTCGTACATGTTATGGTTCATATCATATGCTTATGGCTAGGAATAGTGACAAAGGGACGGAGGGAAAATGATACTCCCTCCGTCCCTTAAAACTTTGCCAAGTTTGACCGGCACGGAGATTAATAAAGTAAAAACTGTGTGGTTGAGAATTGTGCAGAGGAGATAGAATTATTCGGAATCACAAATTCTTTACTTAAATGAGAAAGTGACAAAGTTAGTGGGACATCCAAAAAAGAAAAGTTGACCAAAGTTTTACCTCCTCCGCAACTACCCCACCCCCGCTGATTTCCCACCCCTCCCTTGCAATCAACCAGCCAATTCCCCACCACGCCTAACCCGCCCGACCCTATCTAGGAACCATAGCTGACAGATCTGGAAATATTAAAAAAATTCAATTCGCATTTTTTTTTTTTAAATGTTCAAATTTCGTCGTGAACGCCCCTATGCTATACCATTAGTCTAATCTTTGTTACTTTGTAGACTAATTTCCTTTAAAACCTATTTGCGTGGACGAGGGAATATGCGAGAGACCTGGGTCCGATACCTTAAAAAGAGTATGTAATTTTGTACATTATTATTATTTCTTTAATTAATTAATTTAATAATAATACCGATAAGATAAAAGAAAGTCATAATGTGGTGATAAACTCCGCTATGGAGTAAAATACTGTAAATGAATCCGGCCTAAAAAGGTTACGAAGAGAAACGGAATAGTTGAAAATTCCTGAATTGGAGGTAAAAGCCATTAAAGAAGCCTCACATCACCCCTCTGCCATCATCTTCCCCATTAGTTTCCTCACATTCTCTAATTCCTTCAATTCCATTCTTGGTTTTACAGACCCGCAGTTCCCAAAGATCGAACCAAACTCGAGATCTATCAATCCCCCCAAATCCCAGATCTTCCTCAATTTCCCTGCCGTATTGTGTATATAAAATGCATACACGCCCATAGAACGTTACGGATGCACTATAATGTGTTCTGTCCATATCCATCGGATAGCTGACCGTAATGTGTGGATTGAGATTGGATTGATTTTGTTCTTTAAGGTTCCTTTGGTTTGGAGTCGGGTCTTTGTTTGATTATTTGTTTTTATTCGATTGTGTTTGGAGAATATGGATAGAGGGGTCCGGTTAAATGGAGAAGATTATTATTATTATTCCAGTGGAGTTGGCTCCATCGGAGTTGCATCCTCTTCCTCGGCCTCTCCGTTGCGTCGTGTCGGTGCTGCTTCTCCCTGTGATGGGACTGTCGGTGGTGGAGGGATGAATCATATCGAACATTCTGTGTCCAAATTTGATACCCTTGCTGGCGTAGCTATCCGATATGGCGTTGAGGTAATTCAATGAACTGATCTCCAATTCATCCGTTATGAATAGAATCGGAACCATACTTATCAACGGTTTTTGTTTTTCTTTTTAAATTGAGAAAACCCGGTTTTGGATTTTGTGAGTGATGTCAATTTTCAGATGGCCTTTTGTATGCATATGTAAGAATTAGGACGCGGAAAGTTTGAGTTTCAGAGTAATGAGGTGGCCCTAAAAGTGAAAACCAAGTGGCATGTTTCCTTAGGTCTTGCATTTTATCTGACTAAAGAAGAAAGGTGTAGTTGCAGCTGCTTCACTTCATGTACAATGGATCATATACAGTGCATAAAATTCTCACTGCTCAGCTGCTCACTTTTTCCATTTCTCCTCCTGTTTTTACTGGCTATGTTACTCTTTTGATATTCTATGTGGGATGTGTAAATCTTAGTTGTGCCTAACTCCAGGAATAGTAAGGGGTGGGGTGAGGGGTTGTTTAGAGGTCAGGGCCAATGAGCTTTTTTTGTCTGACTTCGAAAATGCCATTTTATATGGAAGTTGTGCATCTTTTTCACATTAAATCTATTTGTGATCATCCGTTCTTCGGAAAAACCAAATCTGGTGGGTGATCATTAATATTTGCGTTTTTTCGCTGGTGACAGGTAGCAGATGTTAAGAGGATAAACGGACTAACTACGGATCTCCAAATGTTTGCTCGAAAGACACTTAAGATACCGTTACCGGGGCGGCATCCTCCATCTCCAAGCCTAACAAATGGTTTTGATGTACAAGGGTATACTCCACTTCCTTTATACCCAAAACTCCCCCCCATATCGTAGAATATTGATGATTTCTATGTATTACCCTAAATCCAAGTGAGTATATTTCATTAAGATGAGAGGCATCCACTCCCCCTGCTTGTTATATGATTTATTTTGTATTGATTAATTGTTTTGTTTCTTTTTCTCTTCTCAATTTTTTAGAAATTATGACATCTTGTATGCTTCTCATTTCCAAATTTAAGTACAACAATACATTTCTGAATCAAATTAGATTTTGAAGGCACATTAAAGTTTATTTTATCCATTCTTGTCTTATGTTTTACTTATTTGGCCGTTTTTTGTGCCAACAACAATTGTCAATTAATGAAGCATCAACAATCATGGTTGCACCTTAGGCTACAATCCCATATATTCGCATTCATAATTTTCTGTTGTAATTTTGGCCGCCATTCATCCCATTCACCATTGTTACTACAATGGTGATAATCATAGCCAATGTAACTACATACCATTGGACCTCCTTGCACAATTGCCCGATTTTCCTTATATTATTTTCTTGTAATAACTTTCTATTAGGAATTTTAATTATTTTGAAACCTTTGCTGCTAATTAGTTAATTTGACAACCTGATGCTTTATGGCATGTAAGAGTGTGACATAATAAGCTAGCTCGCATCTTTTGATATGTCCCAGAAGCTAACTTTTGGTTCTAAGGGTGATTTACAAAATCACTAGAAAGCTTCTAAAAGAGAATTTAAGTTTGTACCATCGTATATAAGAAGTTCTATCGAGTAGCATTTAGATTGCAGGAGGAAGTTTTTCTAATTTTATGTGGTTTTATCCCTTTCCTTTTGGGTAAATGTCCTCTTAATTTTTAACCAAGTTTTTCTTGTTGTATATACTTGCTAGACTATGGGTCATCCGGAAACAGTCTCTCTGTGCTTTAGTAAAAGCACAGAGAGACTGAGACTTAGTACAGGGGTAAGACTTCGTACATCCGACCCCTCCTTACCCCACCGCAGGTGGGAGCCTTTGCGGCACTGGGGTAAATGAAAAAAAAAATGATATACTTGCTAGACTCTAATGTAAACCAAAGATCTAGTGAAAATTTTCTTTACATTGATTTGATTATTAAATGAAATCAATGACATCATATACCTTTTTTCATGCTAATGAAATTGTATATAAATGATAATTTAGAACGAGTATTACTGTACAAAGTTACTAAACATTTTGAAACACATCATTCTTTCTGTAATAAGAGCAAGTCTTAGGAAACCTTTGGTCAAGAATATGTTTTCTTGCAATTGTATTTTTGCATTATATGTCAACTATTTGTTCTAAATTCCTGAGATAGAACTAAAAAATGGGTGCTAATATCAGAAGTTTGCCTCTTAATCTCCTCTAGACTTTGTAGGATGCATGGTGCCTAACTACAACATTCTTTTGGCAGAGATAGCATTTCAGAGCGGACGCCGCCTAACCGCAGACACTCAGACTTGTTTGATACATTTCAGTCGCTAAAACTGAAACCTCCTCCTACCCAGCGAAAAGTTTCTTCAGCAATGAGCAGTTTAAGAGGTTATTATGGCCTTGGACCACCATCAGATCAGAAAGCTGCATCTGGTGAAGGTTTTGAAATGGCCAGATACGAAAAGAGGGGAAGATCTCCTTATCTTGAGGATGACCCATCACCTATCTCCACTGGTCTTCACAGAAAATGTAAAAGTGTAGCAAATGGGTTTTTGCCAGAGAATGGGCATGTAGTGGATCATGAATCTCATCAAGAAACTAAAGATAATGGCTCTGAAGGAAGAATGTGTGATAAATCTTTCAGACGGCGTCAGAAGTCTGAAACCGATTTTTCCAGAACTCAGGAAATGCTGCTGAAGGAAGATAACAGCAGCAACAGTGGCGGATTTTCTGGTATTATGGGGGGCAAAGGCCTGGCCATGAGACCTAATTCAGCTAGTCGGACTGCCTCTGTTGCTAACAGTGAAGCGTCGTCTGTGATAAATCCCATTCCTATTGCGTTGGGGGACTCTGTTGCTGACAGCAGTCTAGTTGACAGAGTTAGAAAGTCTTCTAGTGCTTCGAATTTGCAGGATTCTGATAATAGCAGCAGCACCTTGGCATCCCTCTGGCCAACATCCAAATGGAGTTTGACAGATTTTCAGGCAATTTCTACTGCGGCCATCACTAGATCAATCTTTGATGGCCTGCCTAAACCGATAAGTGGTCGGAAGAACAAAACCGCACTTGATTAGTGTGATTTCCACTTGGCTTACACACTTCCATAGTTATATTTCTGATTGATGTTTGAGCCACGAATATAGAGATGTGGGGATAGAAATAAGAGATGTAGTGATTATATATTTAGACACGAACTGTAATTTTTGGTTAAAGGACATTTCAAACCTCACATTGCAGGTGTACAAGTTAAACCGCAAGTGATTGCAGGATCTACATTACTCGAAGTACAGGTTTTGGTAAAATTGTTACCACACTGTTGATAGAACTTGCTGTAGATTTATTTATCCAGAGAGCATTTAAGAACGTGTAAACGTGGGTGTTTTTGTTTTGAGAATAGAAGGTATATATTAGAGATATTTGGGCCATTGATTTAAAGCTCTGGTATTTATTTATTTATTTATTTATTTATTAAGTGCTTAATTAATTGGAGCAGTATGTCATGGAATGATGGAACCATAAAGTGTTTAGCTAGTTTTGAGAGAGAAAGTGCTTAGCTTAACAACCTTTTTTTAGACAAGCTTAACAACCTTAATGGCTTAATATTATTCATATCATATATATTCAAATTATTTATATATATTGTTGACCTGTTAGTGAAATTTGTCACTCCGCTCTATTTATCATTTTATCTTAATTTTGAACATGGCATATTTTTTGGAGGAAGGCGATGAGCAGGATGGTAATTTTTGGAAGAAAAAATACACATGATACATTCAAATAAGGGATGGAATCGGACCGGTCCGGATTGGGTCTCAAGCCCAGTTGATCCCGATTCTAAATAATTGAAGCCTGATACTGACCTGGTTTGGTCCGGTACCAGTTCCGATCTGGGTCTAAACAATATCAGTCTCGAGTCAGGCTCAGGCCAGTACCCACCCATTAATTAAAGTGGTAATTACCTGGATGAGTCATTTCGCCTATCATATTTCGTTTATGGCATCAGAATTTTTTCTTTTCAATTATAACTTTCGTATTTTCACTTACAACTTTTTATTTCAAAAATAACCTAAATCCTAAATCATTGCCCCAGCCCAGAATAATGATCGTCGATGACTAGTAGTGCAGCTCCTCACTCTTCCTCCATCCTCATGACCTCGCTTTGGCTCTCCGATCTCTGTCCTCGCTTTGGGTCTTCGGTCTCCGCCTTCCGCCTTCTGCCTTGCGCTCTCCGGCTCCGCCCTTCGGCCTCCACCCTCCGCCCTCCGCCCTCCGTCCTCCGCCCTTCGCCCTCCGCCCTGCTTGTTTTGCTGCTCCGGTGTGTATTTGATCACTATATCTTCAATTTGACTTGGATTTATTGTGTTGTTTATAGCTTTTTTGCGTTTAGATCTAGATCGCAGATTCGTGTTTGCGGTACTATTCATGTGCGATGAAATCTAGTATTTAATCCTAATGTAAGTTCAATTATCATGTATTTCTTCTTAGATTTAACTTTATCTGATATTTTCAAATGTAGCTATAGCTTTTTTCACTTCACTACACATTTTGTTTAATTATGTAAATTAGCCCGATTTTTTCTCTGTCCCTTGCATGTTGAAAATTGAGGTTCAGAAACCTACCACAAATAGAAGATCAGCTTCTTTTGATACGGTTAATCTGCTTCCTTTGTTGCATTGTTCTTCTTCATTTGAAAGTGGTCTATTCTGACTTTACAAGTATTTAAGATGCTCACAGATTATTCCGGTATAAGTAAATTTAGATTGTGTATGATTGTGTTGCCAAAGATGTAGGCTTCATTTTAATATTGAGATCAATGTCAACGATTTGGATGTTTTTTCTGCTTCTGCTATATAGGTTTATTGGTTTGTTGTAATAATTTATTCAATTCGATATTTGTGTCATAGTGATTGCATTCCCTATTGCAGGCACGCAATAAAAACGTACATGCAAATGTAAGGATGAGAAAGTTTGACAAGGAAAAATGAAGACAACGTGGACAAATCTGATAAATTGTGTGAGCAACATAAAAGGAATAAGAAGTGAGGAGAATCAAAAGCCATAGATGTCATAGATAAATGTAATGAATTGTAATAATAGATTGAATTATACATATTTTGTGATAATTTTATATGTTGCTTTTTGTTTCTCTTTGTTTTATCGGTTGTGTTGCTTTTTGTTGCATCTTGTTACATTTTGTTGCACCGTGTTGCATTCTGTTGTATCGTGTTGCTTATTGTTCTTTATGACATCTTGGATGTTTCTTCTACTTCTGTTATATAGGTTTATTGGTTTGTTGTAATAATTTATTCAATTCGGTATTTGGTTCATAGTGATTGTATTCCCTATTGCAGGCACGCAATAAAAACGTACATGCAAATGTAAGGATGAGAAAGTTTGACAAGGAAAAATGAAGACACAGTGGACAAATCTGATAAATTGTGTGAGCAACATAAAAGGAATAAGAAGTGAGGAGAATCAAAAGCCATAGATGTCATAGATAAATGTAATGAATTGTAATAATAGATTGAACTATACATTTTTTGTGATAATTTTATATGTTGCTTTTTGTTTCTCTTTGTTGCATCGAGTGTGTTGCTTTTTGTTGCATCTTGTTACATTTTGTTGCACCGTGTTGCATTTTGTTGTACCGTGTTGCTTATTGTTCTTTATTATTGATTTTCATTTTTTTACTATTTACATTGACATTATATTCGTTAGTGATTTGGAATAAAAAACATATTTAGCTATATACAGGAACACCTGAAATCATAAAATTGGATTTATGAATAAACAAAAAATATATGAAGAAACAATAAAAAACAAAAATAATTAAAGTAATCAAAAAATAGAAACGCAAAGAAACAACATGCAACAAAAATAACAATTAAGTGATAATAATATAATAAAAATATTTTATGTGTTCATGGTTTTTAGATTTTATATGCCTTTTAATTTAATCTAGTTTTCTGTTTTTTTGTTCAAGA